AAGGCTTGCCGTCTGAAGCTGATTTTTAAAGTTCTAGCTTGCATATTTGAATATTCAACTTGACTATATAAATTGAATCATAAATTTCATCCATTTGGCCCTTCTTTGAATCTTCTAAGGTTGTTTAAGTGTTCTAATTGAATTTGCATTCTTTGAATATTACAAATTAAATTAGAATTCTCAACAAAGAGTACAATCTTGATAATGATCAAGAACAAATATCATGTATGACCCCAATTATAATTGCCATTTGATTTTTCTTCTCTCGTTTCCGACCATCATTTAGGCTTAACACAAACTAGTAGAATGTGGTGACTAAAAAAGGTTAAATCAAAATATTAAACAAACTGGATAATACAAAAAGTTCTAAAAACAGAAAGGTTGAAATTTAATCCCATCCTCTGCTCTGTAGTGGACATGCTCTAATTTTTTTATTTTTCTTTAATCAATACTAATGACTTGAGAAAGTTGACTTAAAATCAAAATAATTATTTTTGAGCTAACTTTACAGACTTGGAAGAATAATTGGTTCAATATATATTAGTCAAAGACCTTGAAGGCACCCAGAGATGAAAAATTCACAATTCAATTGAGTGAAACTGGACATCATTCTACACCTTCTTAAATTTATAATTCTTGTTAAAGTGCCATTTTATTTTATTTAATATTTAAAAATGACAAATTCATTGGACAAAGAAAAAGTTGATCAATAAATCTGCAATCGTCAGTTCGTGGACTTGTCTGAAAAGAATAATGTTACAAGTACATAATTTTTGACGAAAAATCATTACAGATAATACATGGAAAAGCATCATTGGAAGATGGGATGAAAATAAAAAACAACAGTCCAATCACACGCTGTCATATCAATTTCATTACAAATTCTTAAAAAGAATTCTGTACTCTCCACTTTATTCGTCTGAAAAAGGGTTTGTTCTTTCTTTGGTGGTTCAATCATGCAGTTTAATTTTATTCTATATCTGAATATCAAATATGTATGTATTTGATCTAAAAGTTGATTGAATTAATTTTTTATCAAATAATATGGGTACCATTTGTGCATAAATATATATGATTTATTTGATAGGACCTCATCTTCTATTTCAAGTAGAAGAACTTTTCAAAGAAGTTATCTAATGTCAAATTTCTCCAAAGTTTCTCTTAATCAGACAAAACACTTTCAAAAAATTATTAAAATGAGTTCAAAATTAATTTTTTAGTCTCAAAAATAACTTTTAACTCCACAAAAGCCTACCAAACGATCCCTAACAGTGAGGCTCCAACTAAAATATTTTGCTCGACTTTAGTATCATGTTGACCATTTCATTTTAAAAATTTAAATTAATAAACAGAAATAATATGTATTTATATAGATTCAATCTTTAACACCAACCACCTTTAATTTCTCTTTGAGGCTACCACGGGTCCACGACTAGTCATTCTCACCACCCAACAAAAGGGAAAAAAACACTT